GAAAATAAAAATCATAAATAATAATAATAATTATTATTATTATTATTTTAAATCAAACAAAATTTTAATGTTATTTTTTTATTATTATTATGTAATTATCGTAATAATTTACAAGTAAAAAATATTAAAAATAAATTATTGAATATAATAATAATAATAATGATAAATAATTAGTTTATTAGTCGTAAGAGTAGAGAGAGAGAGAGAGAGAGAGAGAGAGAATTTATACATAAAAGTTCGTGAACTCCAGGGATCGTATTATTATAATCGTTGAGAAAAGGAAACCGATAATCGCAAAATGTTAAATATCTTTTATCATTGAAAATGAAATCGTAATAAATTTCTTCTGCTTTATTTTTTTGTGAGTTTTTAACGTATTTAACCCTCGCCCCGGAACGCCTCCCCCTCCCCGTGAAAATAATTATAACTTTTTTCCTCTGTCTCTCTCTCTCTCACTCACTCACTCGTTATTATTCGTACGAAATTAATTTTTTTTTTTTTCCTCGATTTCGTTGCAATTATTATCATTATCATTATTATTATTATTAAATCCATTCGGTATCTCGTAATAAATATCAATCAGCAATAATACACGACGGGTTCGACCTTGAATGATGAAAATTAATAAATATTTATGATGAATTTCATGCGATGAAAAAAAAAAAAAAAAAAAAAACCGGTAGACCACATTCCAGCATCAACATCCCGTTTCTTTGTGAACCCCGAATTTCCATGAATAAAACAAGAAACACATTCTGGAAAAATAAACAGGTAGTAGTAGTAGTAGTAGTGTTGTCGTAACACGAATGAAGGAGGCAATCGGATAAACCCGAATGAGTATCATTTTGGGGGCGCAATAATGATACGGTGCAACCATATAATGAACCTCGGAACGGTCGGTCGGTCGGTTGGTCGGTTGGTGCCACGTTTCTTTTTATTTGTATTCAGAGGTCAGTGGCGTAAACGATCGAAGATTCTAGTTTTTTTTTTTTTTTTGAATACGTCAATTTGTCGAAATAGATGAAAAAAACGAAGAAGACGAAGAAGAAGAAGAAAACTATCGTGTCAAAGTCTCTTTTCCGGTTCCGGTTTTAGTTTTTTTTTTTGTTACAACAACCCGAAGCCCGGTGCTAATGAATCATTATTTTTCATGCTTTTAGCCTAATAGGACGATCTTCATTTTGCACGATCACGTCTTGAAATTTTTTCAAATTGAACAAATTTGTTTTTAATGCTACAATCACCGATGATAACAGTGACGTTGCACAATTGAAAAATGGTTAGAATGAAACAAAAAAAAAAAAAAATTTTTTTTTATTTTTCAAAATTCTGGAAAATAACTCACTCCTTTTCTTTTTTTCTTTCTTTAATTTCGTGAAATTTCTGTTAGTTAAAAAAAAAAAAATGGTAGACACAACTTATTATTATTATTATTATTATTATTTTATGTCATCGTGTGAAAAAACGAATAAATTTATAATTAATTAATCATCGGTATTATCAATTGTGACAACTGAAACCTTATTCAGATTAGAAAAGATGTGTAAATCAATGAAAGAAACGTTAATTGATACTACTATCATTATTATTATTATTATTATCACTAGTACTACTACGACCAAGAAGAAGAAGATAAAGTGTTAAGAATGAGATTAAGTTATAATTGTTTTTTTTTTTTTTTCATGGACAACTTCCAGGAATAAAACAGGTACGATGTACCGACCGTACATACATCGTACTCATCGTTCCCGGGATTAAAAAAAATAAGGACAAAAACGGGTACTTTCAGGTACTTTGTCCGATGATTACTTTGTTCAGAAAGAGAGCCCGTTTTTTTTTTTTATATTTATTTAATTTAGGTATTTCCTGCTCATGCATATTAAAAAAAAAAAAATCTTCATTCATTTCTTTAAAAAAAAAAATGATTAAAAAAAGATTTAATTATTTTTTTTTTTGAAAACTTGAAAAATAATAATAATGATGATAATGATGATGATGATGATTTTTAATAAATGAATTTGATTTGTATTTTTTTTTTTTAAATTTGAATTACGCGAAACGTTCATTTGATAATAACTAATACCCATCTATAACCTTATTTTTATCATTATGGTAGTTATTCTTTGGTACCAGTCAGTCAGTCAGTCAATCAGTCAGTCAATCAGTTAGTCAGTGTCGTAAAAAGGCATCGTTAAAAAAAATATTACGATTTTAATAAAAAAAAAAAAAGAAGAAAAAAGAAAATAAATAAAATATCGATTTAAAATTTCCTTTCAATATATATTATTCGTTTTGTTAAATAAAATTATTATCATTATTATCATTATTATTATTACTATTAAAAAAGTATATATACATGTAATGCGTTAATTCAAATTAATTTTTTAACGTTATCACGTTTGCCACGCCCTGGAGCCCCCCATTGACCCTTTACAAACCAGATATCCTCCAAAACGATTGTAATATTCTTATTGCTGATTTGTTTGTCCGTTTGTTAGTTGGTTACTTAATCGTTTGCGTTTGTTTAAATCGATATACATATATATATTTACAATTACGGTTGTCTCGGATTGAATTTTTTTTTCGGTTTAGTAAGACTGGAGTGACATGGCACGATGGAGATGGAGTCACAAAATTCAAAACCCTCCCTCCCCCCCACGAAATGTAATTTTTTTTTGTGGGCGTATTTTTTTTTTTATTATCAAAAGTCGCCATTTAATTACGTAAAATTATTATTATTATTATTATTATTATTATTATTATTATTTTACATTTTGAAAATTGTTGTTTCGTTGTTATTATTATTGTAATTATTTATATTTTTTTTTTTTCCATTGGATTCTGGAGAAAAAGTACTCAAAGTTAAAGTAAACGGACATTAAATATGGTAAATTTACACGCATTTAGTATTGTTGGGGGGGGGTATGGGTTAGCATAGAACCTTTTAAATAAATATATAATATGGGACAATAAAAAAAAAAAAAAAAAATTGTAAAGTAATTGTGGGTCAGCCATATTAATTTCGAGGTGTATAATGCATTTGGCTCATTATCCAAAGAGGGCGGAAGTTAGGTGGGAAGAAGAAGAAAAAGAGAAGGAAGAGGAGGAGGGGGGATGATGCCCCCGGCAAATTGTCCTTTTTTTTTTTTTTTCCAAATTACTTAATTTTTTTTTTTTTTTTATATTCTTTTTATTAAGTCATTCTTTAGTCGAGAATTTAGTTCTAAACTTGAGTGACCCCATCACAAAAAAAATGTTTTAAAATGTTTTTTTTTTTTTTTTATAAAAATTATTTCTTTTCTTTTTATGCAACATCATTTCTTAATCTACGGTTAGTCAATTGGCAGCAGTCATTTTGTGTTTTTTTTTTTTTTCGTCTCCTCTCACCTTTTTTTTTTTTTTATTGCTTTTGTCTTTTGATAATAATAATAATGATAATAATAAAAGTACGGATGAAATTTTCTTTTTTTTTTTTGTCTACAATTATTTGTATTTTTATTTATGTAACCGAAATAATAATAATAAATTAATTCATCTTTTTTATATAAAGATTATTAATTTTTTTAATAAAAATCAATTCTCGTTTATTAAATGATTATTATTATTATTATTATTACGTAATTTTAGAATTAATTTACTTACAATTACGTCGGTTATCGTGCAACGTAAAAAAAAAAAAAACCGCGGGAAGGAAAGTGATAAAAAAAAAAAATCTAAAAAAATGACTTTCAAAAAAAAAAAAATAGTAAAATACAGAAACGAAAGCCGTCAAAAAAAAATAAACAAAAAAAAAACCGGTTTAAAAAACAGGGAGAAACAAACACAGCCGGTAAAAAAAACGAAAAAACGTGGTTTTAGAAAAAAAAAAAAAACGAAAGAAAAGGTCGGGAAACTGACCCAGAACCAAACCGACAATTGTGCAAAATTATTTATTTATTTTTTGTTGAGAAATTTATTTTATTTTTAAAAAGAAACGTAATTAATATTTAAAATAGTTTTTTTTTTTTTTCAACGAGAAAAAAAAAATTTTATTTAATATCGATTAACCGGAAATCGATAAAAAAAAAAAAAAAAAAACGCGTGCACGATAAAATTTTTTTTTTTTTATTTAATCACGGACATGCGAACGCGCGAGCGTAAACAACAAACAAAAATTTGGCCTTTGAAAAAAAAAAAAAAAGTTTTTTTTTCGTTTGTTTGTTTGTTTGTTTCCTTCCTTCTTTGAGAGAATATAAAAGTAAAAATTATATTAAACGGCGCCATATTTTTTTTTTTTAATATTAAAAATAGTAAATATATATTTTTCGTACATTATAGTTGGTTGTTTCCGGAATTTTCATTTGGTTGTTTGATACTTTCATCATTTTTTTTTTTTGGGGTTTTCCTTCATGGTTCCCTGGGGTCCAAGTGACTGACTGACACGCGACCAGACACCATGTATTTATTTTATTTATTGGCGCCTACCTTGTTTCTATCATAATAATATAATCATCATCATCATTATTATACGAGAATATCGATAACATAAATTTTGCGGTTTTTCCACAACTTGTCACTCGCTCTATTATTATTATTATCATTATTATTATTAGAAACAAATTTAATTTAAAAAAAAAAAAAAGTGAAAGTTCATTTTGTACGACAATATAAATTATTTTCAATAAATTGTTTAAAATCAATGATTTGATTTTTATCGAACTTTGTTGTTGTTGTTGTTTAAATTTTTAAAATTATAACATAATAATAATAATAATAAATATTAATATAAATTGAATTTTTGTGAAATTTTATTTTTATTACTCAACCGGATTAACAAACGGAAATTTATTAAAATTTTTCATTTATATTTAAAAAGTTTCAATCGAAAAAAAAAAAATTTTTTTTTTCCCCTCTAATTTAAATCACCATCATTATCATCGTCGTCGTCGAAGCAAATTTTATTATATTTTTAATAAGTCAATAATAATAATAATAATAATAATTAAATGTCACATAAAATATTAGTTAATGACTTTTGAAAAGTAATTGATAATACGCATTATTATTATTATTATTAATTTAATTACTATAAAAATTAAATAAATATATAAAAATTATTGATCATTTACAATTCATAATAATTTATTATTATTATTATTATTGTTTCGATTAAACGTCATCAAAGAAAAAAAAAGAAGTTTCCCTCTCCCCATAGAAAACAAAAAAATAATTTTTTTTGTTTTAAACGTTTTAAAACTAATCGTGGATAAATAGAAAGAATACAAGTGAGTGATCGACCGATCGATCGATTGATTGATTGATTGAATGACTTACCGTTTTCATCTCGAAGGGGGCCAGGCGATCCCAAACTAGAACTCGGATGACCCATTTCTTCATCATCATCACTACCCGCAGAACTGGAACTAGAACTTTTGAACGAATGTCTATGTTTGATATTATTATTAATATTATTATTATTATTATTATTAATTATACTGTGACTATTATTATTCAGCCTGTAACTATGAGTTTTTTTCATAGTTAAATGTCCGTTTTGTAAATTACTAATAAGTGTTTTTGTTTGGGATATGGTCATTTTTGGTTTGAACTTGTTTGTAGGATTTTTTGTTGAAACGGAAAAATCCAGCGGTTGAGGCTGGTCCTCGTGAGATCTCGGAGGCGCGTGGACTAGCATCGGAATCGACGCCCTATTAGGAGATTCTATCGAATTTTTCGACAGTAAATTCGATGGAGAAGGATTTCTTGCCGTCCACCAAGCGGGCCAAATGGTCGACGACGGTGACAATTTTCTATCACCTCTATCGGATTTTTCATCCGCCGAACCTTCGATCGGTGATGAATCAAACGTCACAGCTGGAGATTCACGACTGGAAGGACTTGATTTACCTTCTCCCGGCGAGTCTGGAGATACATTTTTTTGATATTCTAAATGGATTCGATTACCGTCGGCGGAATCCGGTAGAATTTTAGGAACTACAACTTCTCCAGGTTTATCAGTCAATTGTTCGCCGAGTTTTCCAGTTAAATTTTGATGATAATTACGAAAATTACCGGATAAAAGACCGAAATTTCCAACTTCTGCTAACTTATTGTTAAGATTCAAAAACCAACTCGCGGACAAATTATTGAGCACGGTCAGTTTGGCATTGTCCTGCGGCGTGAGTCCAACTTTAGAATCAATTCCAACGCCTACCACTGGAGATTTATTATTATTATTGTTATTATTATTATTATTATTATTTTTTCCAAGTTTGTTAACGTCTATATTATTATTGTTTCCGGTGGCTAAAGTCAGTGCCGCCTCCTCCACCCAGCGGCGGATGGCTTCGTTATTTAAATCCGCCAGAATGATGGAAATTTATTTACACCATACTAATCAATAAAATTATATTTAAATAATTTTTTTTTTTTAAATTAAATTATTTGTTCAAATTTTTTTTTTTTAAACACAA